AATTGTCACCATGCACATTTGATGGCCTTCCTAGATGGTACCTTGTTAAACCAGCACATCCAGCATCTGCCAGGCTGCAGCCTGGCCAGTTTTATTCTTCAGCTTCTCTAATCCCTTGACACCTGGAACCCTGATTACCATTTTATATCAGCTCTTGTACTTTTCAATATACTTTCATGAGTTATATTGTCATTTAGATCTAACAACTCTGAGAAATAAAGTCAGAAGACTAGGGTAATTTCTTAAATTTAGCTCATGTTATAATTAAAAAAAAAAAGTTGAAGCTCCCTCCTAAAGCAAACAAATGAAAAAAATGGCATATTCAAGTTTGGTTGAGGTATTTGTAATAACCTCATATTTTACCCAGCTTGCTAAGTACACATAGGAGAAATCACACTGTAATCAACTATAACAAAGGTAGTTTTCTTTGCAAACCTATTTTCTTGCCTAGGGTATTAACCGTGCTTGTTGATTTAGCAAAGGGCATGGCGGGGGCTGGCCGGGCAGCTGGTGATATTCAGAAGGATGCTGTGGTTTGCTGCAGGCTGGTTCATGAAAGTGACGATGTTCACAGGATGGCATCATCACTGGTACCATGCCAAGGGCTGGTCTTTAAAGCTAAAGTGGGCAATCCCTAGCCCAAAGTATCAACTCCACTGCCAGTCACTTCAGCTTCAGTCTTTTATATTCAGAGAGTTTTTCTGTTTATTTTCCCCAAGAATTCTCTTTTTTAAATGGTATAAACCTGCAGATGAGATCATATTCTAAGCTTTTATCAGCAAACATGCTGATGATCAGTAACAACCACAGGTTTCATTCATCAGATACTTAGTGAGCCAAGAGCAGGACCCTCTAAGGAGAGCTGGAAGGGGAAGGAGATCAAGACTCCTGTGCCCATCCCCATGGAGTCCAGAGTCTAACCAAGAGAAAAGACAAGTATGCTTGATATCAGTAACACATTAACAACAAAGTCCAATGTCTCTGGGGCTCATAGTACATTCCATCTGGTTGGAAGATCAGGGTAAGTTTCTCAGAAAAGATAGCATTTGAGATGTGGAGAAGCTCAGTGAAAGTCTGATGAAGAAAGTACAAATGATGCCAAACTGCAGGGAAAAATATCAAGTGAGCTTATGTAGCTGGATTATGATAGGGTGAATGGAGCAACAATAATAATAATTACCAATTACTGAAGGCCAGCTATGGACTGAAAACTTTCCATGTATTATTTCTAATCCTTAGGAAAATAAGGCTGTCAATACAGAAGGCACCCATGGTGCCAAGTCCTTGGCGCCAAGCTGAGAGGGTTCGTCTTTCATCTGCAGAGTAGGGAGCTACTGCAAAGTGTTACATATACACAGCTGCGGTTTAGAAGGAATTTACTCTGAGAGCATAAGAAAAGAGGCAGTGAGACAGTTAAGAAATTATTACAGTATCCTGGGTAAAAGGTGATAAAAGCCTGAGGTAGTACAGGAGCAATGGAAATAGAAAGGGAATAGGGTATGAGATAGAGAACAGAAAAATAAGGGGATTGATTGTGGAAGATGAGGTTGATATTTTAAGCAAGATGAGTTGGGGTCACAGCAGGGAGCCTAGGGCTCATCAGAAGCATCACAAGGAAACAGAGGAGGAGGAACAGTGGCAAGGGATGAGATGATGAATCTACTTCTGAACACACAAAGCTGAGGTGCCAACAGATCATCTAGCCTACAGAGTCTGGCAGGCAGGCAAAATTTGGGGCCCCAGGTCTAGAGCAGTACATCTGAGGTCACTTATGGAGAAGGGAAGGAGCTTCCAGGGAGATAAGGGATTATGCAGAATCTGAGAGCACTGTTTCACAAAGGATGGGCTGAACGAGCTATTAAAACTGCAGTTTTCTTGGGCTCCACGCAGACCTAGCAAATCAGTCTAAGTAGAGCCCAGGAATGTGCATTTTTAATGAGCTCCTCAGAAGATTCTTATCAATTCTGAAGTCTGAGCATCACTGCCCCCATAACCACTGGGCTACCCCTGACCTCCTAAATCAGAATGGCTGGTGCTTGGGTCAAATAATCTACATTTTGACAAATGCCCCAGGTAAATCTAATGCAGACTGACCACAGACCATACTTTGGGAAACAAAAAGGGCCTGGGGTGAGGAGGAAGAGAGATCCTGGAAGGAGGAAGTGACATCTCTCTGTGCCTTAGTTTATTCATCTATAAAACTAGAAGAACAGGGCTTCCCTGGTGGCGCAGTGGTTGAGAGTCTGCCTGCCAATGCAGGGGACAGGGGTTCGTGCCCCAGTCCGGAAAGATCCCACATGCCGCGGAGCTGCTGGGCCCGTGAGCCATGGCCGCTGGGCCTGCGCGTCCAGAGCCTGTGCTCCGCAACGGGAGAGGCCACAACAGTGAGAGGCCCGCGTAACGCAAAAAAAAAAACAAAAACAAAACCTAGAAGAACAGAGTGGTTATGAGGATTATATAAATGAACATTTGAAAAATCCTGCTTCTGCCTCTTCTTCATTTGAAATAATCCAGATCTTCATCATTTCCCACCTAGACGGCCACTGATGTTTCTGCCTTTGACTTCCCTCCTCCACCCCATACTCCAAAAAAAAAAACATTGCATCCATTCTCTGAAATAAAATCACCGTCACTGGTTATCTGCCATGACAGAAGAATATCAAAACTTTCTGGTTTGGCATTCAAAGCCCTCCACAATAAGACACCAAACTACCACTCAGCTATCTCTCTGGCCACAACACTTTAAATATTGCAATTTCGTAGTCTGTGCCTCTGCACAAGCTGTTTCTCTCTGCCTACAATAAACAATATTCAACAAATATTTGCTGGGCACCTACAATGTACCGGACACTGTTCTAGGCACTGGAGAGACAATGGAGAGTAAAAACACAGACAAGGTCTGCCCTTATGGAGCTGATTCTAATAAATAGAAAGCATTAATCAAATAATCACACAAACAAATGGTGTAACTTCAACCATGGATAAGGGCAATGAAGGAGAGGGACATGGAGCTGACCCAGGCTCTGCCCCAGGGAAAGCATCTCTCTCATGCCCAGCCATGGATACTCCCTGTCCTGCTTTCTTAACTCTGTCGATTGCACCTTTTTCCCTAAGAGACTCCATCTTGAAACCACAGAAATCTCTGACTTCTGCTCTCCATGACCCTTTCATCAGTCAGCAAGAACTATCTATTCTTTCTGGAAAATTTATCTCACATCTCTCATCACTGGTTGCCACTGACACCACCGCAGTTCAGGATTTTGATTACCTCTCACCTGTACTACTGCAATAACTTTCTTTTCCTCCACTCTATCTAGCATACTCCTGCCTGATGTAGCCTAAAAAGTTTTTTGCTTTCCTCCTTTTTAAAAAAATTCCTGCTCAGAAATCTTCAGTAATTCCCCCATTGAATCTGAATTCCTTAACCTGGCCTTCAAAGCCTTCTCCGATGCGGCCCCTACTTAGCTCTCCAACCTCACCTCCCACTATCCCCCACTGGGACTCCTCTGTCAAACTGATTTACTGAATGGGCCTGGCAGATCCCCCATTTTGCACCTTTATGTACATTCAGTTCCCTTCATCCTGAATGCTGTCTCCCCTGAAACCAGGACCCAAATTTAACACATCCTTCCACACTCATTTGATGCCACCTCTTTTCCAAAGTCTTCTGTGAAGAACTGCATGTTCCAAAAACAGCCACAGCAATATTCCCAGAGCTAGATAGAGGCTATTGCCTCTCCCCTTGAAACTCAGTGGGCCTCAATGCGGTAGAAGTGGCACCACCTGGCACGCGCCCACACGTTCTCTCTCACAAATATATGTATAAATACATATATACAGTTGACCCTTGAACAATATGGGTTTTAACTGTCCAGATCCACATATACACGGACTTTTTCAATAAATAGGCACTACGGTTGAATTGCTATCGGTTGAATTCTCAGATTTGGAACCACCGACACGCAGGGCCAACTGCAAAGTTATTTTCAGATTTTTGACTGAGGGAAGGGTCATTGCCCCAACCACTGTGTTGTTCAAGGGTCAACTGTGTGTATCAACACACACACACACAAACAAATATATCACACACTTGCTTGCCCGGTGGGACCCATCAACCATACTGCGAGGAAGACCACGCCACATGGAGCGGATATGTGCAGGTGTTCTGTGCAACAGACCCAGCTAAGTGGCCAGCAGCAATAACTGCCCAACGTGTGAGGGAGCGAGCCTTCAGATGACCCAGCACCTAGCCCTGGGGTCAACCTGGCTGAAGCTGAGCGGAGCAGAAAGGTGTGATTCCCACCCAGCCCTACTCAAATTGCAGATTCAGGAGCAAAATAAGATGTTTTAAGCCACTAAGGTTAAAGGAGCCGTAGATCAGTAGAACACCTCCATGATAACCCTGCCCTGAAAGTGATCCTCTACCTCCTCTGTGCTCCTGTTACGTGGGGGATAGTCTTCCCCCCCACCCCCACCCACAATGCTAACCTCTGCCACACCTAGAACAACGCCACACACGTAGGAGGTGCTCAACCGACTGAATGAATGAAAATTCATAGAAGGACCTAAGAACTCTCTGTTTGAGAGATGATGTGAGTTAGTTAAGTTGGACCGATCGCTAAGATGATTGTGATTATCTTTAAAAGTAACTAATCAAATTCCATTTTGGAGAAAAAGAAGATATGTTCTGCTTTTGAGCAAGAAGAAAGGCCCAGTAGGACAGGAGTAGGCGGTGCATCACTGTCACCCGGCCGAGGCCTGGCGTGGGTTTCTAAGTGTCTGGTGCTGCTCAGCAAGGGCAAAGGCTTCTCTTTCTTTTTTATAAACTAAACGGAGCGGCTTTTCCTACCACGTTTACTGTATAGCTGCCTTTTCACGACCCCAAATGGTTCTTCCTTCGTTCCTTTCCTTTCGTAGCGGACAATAAAAACTAAACGTAAGTTGAGCGGAAACGGGGTGAGGGCAGGCAGAGCGGTGCTGGGAAACGGCTGCTCAGGAAACGGCTGCTCAGGAAGCGGCCTGGGACCCTGAGGCCGAGCCGGGATCTGCATCGGCTCGAGGTTCCTCACTGTAACGCCACCTCGGCGTCGCTAAAGTACTTCCCCTGGGCGCCCCGTCCCTCAGCCTTTTGCTTCTGGGCTCTTCTTTCTGCAAACAAAACGTGGCACGTGCTGGTAGGGGGCCGTCCCCACCCAGGCTTCCGTCCCGCGGGCCTTTCGGCGGCGTTGGCGGCACCCGCGGCCCGGCCTCGCTCCGTGGGCCCAGTCAGCCCCTCCGCCACCGGCCCGGTCAGCGCGTCCACCGCCCTCCCAGCCCGGCCCGCCGCACCTCCGCGCCGTCGCACTCACTTTCCCGCCTCGGGGTCGCCACGCGGCTTCCGGTCGAAGCAGACGCAGTAGCCGAGGAAGGCGACGGCGCCACAGGCCTCCAGGGCCGCCAGGAAGCAGAAGACTGTGCGGACGTAGGGCATCCGGCCGCGGGCGTCCCACGAGTTGGGCGCGGACCCGCCAGCGCGGGGAGCCCGGCCGGCCGGCAGGGGGCGTCGGCGCGGCGCCCCTCCCAGCCTCGGGGCTTCCTGTGCGCCGGGCCGCGGGCGTGAAGAGCTGAGGGTCGACGCCTCGCACCTCGGCCGGCGGATAGAGGAGGAAACCCAGGGTCCTAGAGGAGGAGTGTGGGAGTCTCACAACCACCGAGTAGGAGAGCTCTGTTCGAACCCAGGTCGGTCGTACTCCAAATTCCGCACCCCTTACCCAAACGCACCCCAGTCCCTCTGCCTATGACGCCCATTCAGGCAAATCACAGTATGTCGGGAATCTGGTTAGCTGATCTTTCTTAGGCCTGTGTTCCCTCAACTGCAACTTTGAGTCATAACTCTGGTCATCTCCTAGTTCACAGTACTGCCCACCGAGCACCTGGACACTACTCCGTATTCCCCAACCTGGTATGCTTTGTCACCTGCAAGAACCCAACAGTCCAAAATCCCCAACCACCTTAGCTCGATAGCAGGAGGTAGGAGGCATGTTGAAGTAATAATAATAGTAACAACAATAATAATTTAGCCTAGAAAAAAACGTTAATTTGCTGGTCTGGGCCGGGCCTGACAGCCAAAGGTCCCAGAGGAAAAGCAACTCCAAGAGACCCATGACACTTACTAGCCTAGATGCTTTTCTAATACTTGCCTTATTCAGCAGACATAGCAGAAAGGAAGTAAGACTTTATTCCAAATATCAGAGTTTTGACTTTATACAAAGCCAAAGAAAAGGCATAAGCTAGGTAAGGACCTTCTTTTTTGTTTGATTGGTTATTCAGTTGCTACTTACGATTTCCTGATATTACTACCATGTGCATAGCAAAATGATCATCTCTGCTGTGACTTCCACTGGGGCTGAGAAGCAGCCCATGGCCTCACTATTCAAAAGTTAGCCGGTGTAAGTTACATGCATGTAATTGTTTTCTTGAGTACTGTGTGTTTCTTCCTATAACTCAATCTTCTATTTGGGAGCTTGGGCTATTGTCAAAACCTGATTATAAACACAAACAAGATAGGGTAGCATCAGCCTCCAGTGTTACTGGTGATCTGGGAGTGGTTTTTAGCTCAGAATCCTGGTGATGGGTTTAGTCCAGCTCCAAACGATCTTTTTCTAGGCTGACTGCTCTTGTCTTCTAATAAAACTACTCTACCTGTCCCCCACTTCCCATCCTTCACTTCCACTGAGCTCATAGTTAATCCTTGTGGTACATGGAGAGGGGTGGCGCCAGGGAAACTGTGGAGACTAGCAGGGTGTTCAGGGACAAAGTAAACAGTGACATGTAAAGGTAGGAGAACTATTAAGGCAAATAGAAATAAACAGCTCACTGAAGTTGAAATTGCCACAGAGACCATGCCATAAAGTAATTGAAAAATTTTCAAGCAAGTTTCTAAGGTAAGGGTAGATTTTTCTTCTCAAATATAGATACCACTCTTGCTAATTTGGTGATAAGAATTCCAGTAGGGACTTCCCTGGCGGCACAGTGGTTAAGAATCCGCCTGCCAATGCAGGGGACACGGGTTCAAGCCCTGGTCTGGGAAGATTCCCACATGCCATGGAGCAACTAAGCCCATGCACCACAGCTACTGAGCCTGCGCTCTACAGCCATGAGCCACAACTACTGAGCCCTCGTGCTGCAACTACTGAAGCCTGTGCACGCCTAGAGCCTGTGCTCCGCAACAAGAAAAGCCACCACAGTGAGAAGCCTGTGCACCGCAAGGAAGAGTAGCCCCTGCTCACCACAACTAGGGAGAAAGCCTGCACGCAGCAATGAAGACCCAATGCAGTCAAAAAAAAAGAATTCCAGTAAAGCTTTTTCAAAATTGAGATAGCATTAATAATTGTTCTATGATGGATGATTGCTCTCTTTCTTTTCAACAGCGTTATTGAGGTTATAATTGGTATACAGTAAATTCCATATATTTAAAGTGCACAATTTGGGACTTCCCTGATGGTCCAGTGGCTAAGACTCTGCACTCCCAATGCAGGGGGCCTGGGTTCGATCCCTGGTCCAGTAACTAGATCCCACATGCCACAACTAAGAGTTCACAAGCCACAACTAAAGATCCCACATGCCACAACTGAAGATCCCACATGCTGCAACTAAGACCCAGCGCAGCCAAATAAATATTAAAAAAATAAAATGTACAATTTGATACATTTTGACATATGTATACATCCATTGAACCATCACCAAAATCAAAATAATAATCATATCCATCATCCCCAAAAGTTTCCTTGGCCCCTTTTTTTAATCTGTTCTTCCGCTTATCCTTCCCTGCCTCCCCCACCATCCTCTGCTTTGTCACTATAGTTTGCATTTTCTAGATTATTATATACAGTTGACCCTTGAACAAAGTGGGGGGGTTAGCAGTGCCAATTCTCTGCGCAGTCAAAAATTGTATAACTTACAGTCTGCCCTCTGTATGCGTAGTTTCACATCCTCAGATTCAACCAACCTCAGATTGTGTAGTACTATAGCATTTACTATTGAGAAAAATATGTGTAAGTGGACCCAGGCAGTTCAAACCCATGTTTCTCCAGAATCGACTCTAAATGGAATCATACAATGTGTACTGTTTTATTGTCTGGCTTCTTTCAATCAGCATAATGATTATCCATGTTGTTTTATCAGTAGTTCATTTTTATTGGTAAATAGTTTTGATTTTATGGATATACTACAATTTGTTTAACCATTCATCTGTTGATGGACATTTGGATTATTTCCAGTTTTGGGCTATTACAAATAAAGCTGAGGGAGTTCCCTGGTTGTCTAGTGGTTAGGATTCCGGGCTTTCACTGCCGTGGCCCAGGTTTAATCTCTGGTCAGGGAACTGAGATCCTGCAAGCTGTGCGGTATGGCCAAAATTTAAAAAGAGAAGAAAAAAAAAAAGACTAGCACTTACAAAAATAAAATTAAAAGGATTAAGAAAAAACAAAGCTGCTACAAGCAATTGTATACAAGTCTTTATATGACACATCTTTCCTGTTCTCTTAAGAATACCTAAAGGTGAAATGGCTGGATCATATGGTAGGAGTCTGTTTAATTTTTTAAGAAACTGCCAAACATTTTTCCAAAATGGCTACACCAGTATATGAGAGTTCCAGTTCCTCCATATTGTTGCCAACAGTTGGTATGGTCAACCTTTTTAAATGTTAACATAAAAGGCAGGTAGTGGATTCTCACTGTGGTTTTATCTTGTATTTCCCTAATGCTTAATGATATTGAACACTTTTTAAAAATAGACTTTATTTTTTTAGAGAAGTTTTAGATTCACAGGAAAATTGATTGAAAAGTACAGAGGGTTCCCATATACCCCCTGAACCCACACAAGCACAAACTCCTCCCTCCCACATTAGAGTGGCACATTAGTTATAATCAATGAACCTACGTGCACATCATTATCACCCAAAGTCTACAGTTTACATTACAGTTCACCTTTGGTGTTGTACAAATGTATAATGATTTGACAAAGGTATAATAACATGTATCCATCCTTATAGTATCATGCAGAATAGTTTCACTGCCCTAAAATCCTCTTCACTCCACCTGTTCATCCCTCTCTCTCCCCAACCCCTGGCAAGCATTAATTTTTTTTACTGTCTCCATAGTTTTGCCTTTTACAGAATGTCATATACTTAGGACCATATAGTACTTAGCCTTTTCCAAGTCTTTTCATGGCTTGATAGCACATTTCTGTTAGTGCTTAATGATACTCCATTGTCTGGATGTACCACAGTTCATTCATTCACCTACTAAAGGACTTGGAAGCCTCCAAGTTTTGGCAATTATAAAGAAAGCTGCTATTAACATCTGGGCAGGTTTTTGTGTGGACATGTTTTCAACCCATTTCAGTATATACTAAGGAGCAGGATTGCTGGATCATATGTAGGAGTATGTTTAGCTTTGTAAGAAACTGCCAAACTGTCTTCCAAAGTGGCTGTACCATTTTGCATTCCCGCCAGCAATGAATGAGAGTTCCTCTTGTTCCACATTCTTGTCAACACTTGGTATTGTCAGCGTTTTGAATTTTTGCATTCTAATTAGATGTGTAGTCATATATCTCATTTTAATTTGCATTTCCATGATGACATATAATGTGGAGCATCTTTTCATGTGCTTATTTGCCATCTGTTTATTTTCTTCGATGATCGTGTCTGTTAAGGGCCTCGGCACATTTTCAAATCTGGTTGTTCATTTTCTTATCGTTCAGTTTTAAGAGTTCTTTGTTTATTTTGGATAAGTCTGCTATGACTTGAACGTTTGTGTCCACCCAAAATTCTTATGTTAAAATCCTAATTCCTAATGATGGTATTAGGAGGTGGGGCTTTTGGGAGGTGATTAGCTCATGAGGATGGAGCTCTCAAGATTGGGATTAGTGCCCTTATAAAAGAGGCCCCACAGAACAACCCATCCCTTTCTACTCCAAAAGGCCCTCACTGGACCATGCTGGCACCTTGATCTTAGAACCCCTAGCCTCTGGAACTATAGGAAATAAGTTATTTTTAAGCCACCCAGTTTATGATATTTTTGTTATAGTAGTCCAAACAGACTAAGACATAGTCCTTTATCAAGTATGTCTTTTGCAAATATTTTCTCCAGTCTATAGCTTGCCTTCTCATTCTCTTGATGAACACCATTTGTATGTACTTCTTTGACATTCATGTATCTTCCTTGGAGAAGTGTGTGTTCAAATATTTAGTCTTTTTTTTTTTAAATTGCATTGTTTGCTCTCTACTGTTGAGTTTTTAGAGTTCTTTACATAGTCTGGATACAAGTCCCTTATCTGATAAATGCTTTGCAAATATTTTCTCCCAGTTTGTTTCTTGTCTTTTTATTCTTTTAACAATGTCTTTTCAAAAGCCAAAGTTTTAAAATTTAATGAAGTCAAATTTATCAAATTATTCCTTTATGGATTGTGCTTTTGGTGTTGTATCTGAGA